AAGGAGGCCATCAGGCTCCTCCAAACCAACCAACTCCAGCAGCCTCTGGTTCTTAAATGACAACCATCATCACCCAGAGATTTAAGGACTCGGCCCTGGTCAAGGTGTCAAAGGGTCTGTTGGTCTCCCCCCATTAGACAGGGCTCTTGTCTTGCTACGCTAATAATAAAGGGGTGACTGGGAAGGGGTGGGAGGGACATGGTGGGGGCCGAGACTCCAGCCCCCCTTCTCCAGGCCTTGCTGACAGGGGCATGTTTTTATTTATTTTTATTTTTTTCCCCATGATGTTTTTTTTAAAAGTCTCATAACTTCCTTTTCATAAATTTTATACTTCTTATAAAAATTTTCTACTTTTTATCCACAACCTTTTTTGCCACAACTTTTCCACATTTTTTATTCCATAATTTTTTATCCCATAACTTTTATTAGTTTGTGTTCTTTTAATGAACACACTTGCATAGTTATATTGCAATTTCATAAAAATAAAAACACATTATCTCATGCCAAGTGTGCCCAGCATTTGCAGAGTCTCAATATCTTTAATACTATTTTTGTCAAGACACACAAAATTTTAAGGCAAACACAGCGCTTTGCAGCAATTCAATAATTTATTACATTACAGGAGCATCACAGCAGCAGTCAATAATGCCGCTTTAGACAAAGGCTCAGCATTTCCATCTTACGTTCTGTTCCCAAGAGTTCATACATTGGTAAAAGTCATTCTTAGGAAACTTGGCAACTAAAGCTTTGGACTGGAATTGGCATTTCTTTCTCTACTTTTCCTTCCCTTGGTTTCTTTTAAACTATGACATTCATATTTTAAAATGTTTTTAAGCAATTTCAAAACGTTAAGATAGCAGTTACATGTTTTAATAGTTATCTTGAAAACGACTCTTTAAGATATCGTTTTGGAGAAGCTATATTATGGATAGGATAGGACTGATTTACATTTTCAAATTTTCTTAAAATCAGCTTTGGTTTCAGAACTGATTTTTCATTTCTGGAAAACCTATCAGGTTTAATAAAATCCTTTAAAAATGATTATCATATATTGCACTCTTTAAATAGGAATTTTGATTCTTCCTACAGAAATTCAAATTCATTCAGTTGAACCCACATTTGAAAATTCTATGTATTTTTGTAATGACCTCTGAACAGAGAGACGGTGCCATTGAGCAGGCCTCTGGTACAGCAAACATGGTCCATTCAGGAGCTGTGAATACAGCTCTAGGTGAGCCCCTGAATCAGCTCATGGTAGATTATGCTAAATAGTGAGCTGTTATTGGAGGTGTGGATGAGGACGTTTGTTGTTGTAATCCTTCTTCGCACCTTATTTTAAAGAATAAATGAATCATTTTAAAGAATAAATGAATCATTTTGCCTTTTAAAAAATTTAAAATGGAGGGGAAGAATAGGGGCAGGGCATTATTAGGTTACTTCTCATGCATCAGTGTTATAAATTCAACATATAGACTGACAACCTAAATTAATGGTGGAACACAGTTCTTTTCCTTTTTTTTTTTCTTTTTGTATCTGTTTAATGAAAATAAGAAGGTACAACCCAAGTTTTGTACTCTGACTAGAGGGATTCCACTTCAAGG